CTTGAACTTCGAGTCGAGGTGCGCGGCGGAAGGTGAAAGAGCTGCAAGGACAGCGGAACAGCCCCGCCCGCAGTAATACTGTCACCGCCAAGAAAAAAAACAAATTTCTACAAGCACGAAAACGGCGCCGAAATATCACAAGATTGAAGAGGCACAGCAAGCACAGGCCTAGCAAACAACAACGAAGACCAGCGGGACGGAAGACGTGCACAAGCGGCGAAACGCACGTCAATGCGTTGCAGTCGACATACAACAACGAGGGTGGTGCTTGTGGAGACGACAAAACAAGCACAGACAGAACAGGCGATGGACAAGTTCAAAACAAAAAAACAAACTTCTGCAAACGCGAAGGTGGGCGCCGAAACATCATAAAGTCGAAAATGCACAGCAAGCAAAAGGCTGCGACGTCTTGCGAGTATCGCAGCAGGCATACAACAACGAGCACTAACGCGACCAGAAACGTCCACAAGAAGTAACACCTGTGCAATCTCTTGTGACCACGAAGCAAACAAGGGGACGTCAAAGCATTGTCACGCAAGCAAGCGCAACAGCAAGTAAAACTTGCAACACCACTGTAAGCACAAAGTGCTACTACTGGCACACAAAACACTGCGACGTCAAAGCATGGTCAGGCAAGTGCTACTACTGGCACAAAACACTGCGACGTCAAAGCATGGTCAGGCAAGGCCTACCCGCGGCACACGCAGCCGCGCGAGACGTACATAAGACTCAAAACCGAAGCTAGACGCAGAAAATCCGAAGCGAAAGACAGAAGGATGCTGCAGCTAAACTGGCTGTCCGAGCGAAACTCGGCTGAGCACCGAGCGTATGAGGGCAGACACAGCCACACGCTTCTCTGCGGGCAGAGCCTAGCGAACATGTGCCGCAAAAAACGACCAAAGAGTTGGAGCGCACCTGGAAGATCTCCGCAAGCTGTGCTGCCGAGAACTTGCGGTTCAAGGCCTCCGCAACCTTCGCAGACCTGAGCTTGTGGAGAGTTCTTGCCGGCCAAAGTTAAAGCAGCTGAGACGCAGACGGCAAAGCCATGGCTCGCGGCTTGAACTTCGAGTCGAGGTGCGCGGCGGAAGGTGAAAGAGCTGCAAGGACAGCGGAACAGCCCTGCCCGCAGTAATACTGTCACCGCCAAGAAAAAAAACAAATTTCTACAAGCACGAAATCGGCGCCGAAATATCACAAGATTGAAGAGGCACAGCAAGCACAGGCCTAGCAAACAACAACGAAGACCAGCGGGACGAAAGACGTGCACAAGCGGCGAAACGCACGTCAATGCGTTGCAGTCGACATACAACAACGAGGGTGGTGCTTGTGGAGACGACAAAACAAGCACAGACAGAACAGGCGATGGACAAGTTCAAAACAAAAAAACAAACTTCTGCAAACGCGAAGGTGGGCGCCGAAACATCATAAAGTCGAAAATGCACAGCAAGCAAAAGGCTGCGACGTCTTGCGAGTATCGCAGCAGGCATACAACAACGAGTACTAACGCGACCAGAAACGTCCACAAGAAGTAACACCTGTGCAATCCCCTGTGACCACGAAGCAAACAAGGGGACGTCAAAGCATTGTCACGCAAGCAAACGCAACAGCAAGCAAAACTTGCAACACCACTGTAAGCACAAAGTGCTACTACTGGCACAAAACACTGCGACGTCAAAGCATGGTCAGGCAAGTGCTACTACTGGCACAAAACACTGCGACATCAAAGCATGGTCAGGCAAGGGGCACGTGACAGCAAGTAGAACTTGCACGACCACTTGACAGCAAGCAGAACTTGCAAGACCACTGTGACCACGAAGTGCTAGTACCAGCACAAGAACCAAAAGGCTGCGACGTCTTGCGGGCACATGAGCGCCTGCTGCCGCGTCCACGACTGTGACGGCAAGGGACAGGTAACAGCAAGCAGAACTTGAAGCCACTGCGACCACGTGCTAAGTGCTAGTACAAGAGCCAAAAGGCTTGGACATCTGCGAGTAAAACAGCGCCTGCTGCCGTGTCCAGGATTGCGTTGCAGCAACACACAACAACAAGTACATGCCTTTGCAAGAAGAAACAAACTCACTCACAGCTGCAATCGTCGCTCCTGCGCAGTTTGCATTATATTGCATTATATTGCATTATATTATATTATATTATATCATATTATATTATATTATATTATATTATGTCATATCATATCATATTTTATGATATTATATTATATTATATTATACTATATTATATTATATTATATTATATTATATTATATTATATTTTTTATATCATATTATATTATTTTATATTATATTATATTATATGATATATATTTTTTATATCATATTATATTATTTTATATTATTTTATATTTTTTATATCATATTATATTATATTATATTATGTTATATTAAACTTGCAACACCACTGTAAGCACAAAGTGCTACTACTGGCACAAAACACTGCGACGTCAAAGCATGGTCAGGCAAGTGCTACTACTGGCACAAAACACTGCGACGTCAAAGCATGGTCAGGCAAGGGGCACGTGACAGCAAGTAGAACTTGCACGACCACTTGACAGCAAGCAGAACTTGCAAGACCACTGTGACCACGAAGTGCTAGTACCAGCACAAGAACCAAAAGGCTGAGCAGAACTTGAAACCACTGCTAAGTGCGAGTACAAGACCCAAAAGGCCTGGACATCTGCGAGTAAAACAGCGCCTGCTACCGTGTCCAGGACTGCGTTGCAGCAACACAACAAGAAGTACATGCCTTTCCAAGAAGAAACAAACTCACAGCTGCAATCGTCGCTCCTGCGCAGTTTGCATAAAACGACGAGCACTGGCACGACACAAATCTGTAAAGGGCAGTGACACTACGAAGGACTTCAATATGCTGTTGCTGGAAAACACCCAAACACGTTTACTTTGCTGCTAGACAGCCAAACTAGCCAGGACACAAAGCAAAACTTGCAAGCCAATCCGTGTAACACCAGTGCTCGAGCGACTGCTCTGCCCCTTGCGTTCGCTGGAGGACTGCACTGGTTGTTCAATGTGCCGGATGCTGTTTGGACCCCACAGTTACTTGCACCACTCATGCGGTTAATGAGGCTCCCGCCGCAAGTTCAGGTCGCTACAGGTGCGATCCTACTTGCCCACGCAGCCTGGCATGTGTTCCGCCGCCTCCGTGAACGGCACATGTCAAAGTCCGGCTCGATCATTTTAGCATTGCCCGAGAAGCAGTGGCCGCAACTACTGAGGCACGTCCGCAAGAAGATTCGTGGCAATGCGAACGACGGCGACAAGGGCAGAGTGCTGAGCGGTCCACAGCAAATTCTGTTCCAACACCGCGTCAATGCAGACAAGCGCACACCACAGGAAAAGCTTTTGGAGAAACCAAGGACGCCCAGTAAGCTGCGTTTGGTGGCTCGATGCAAGATTGCAGTGCTGTGCCCGACAAGGAGCCATCCGGCTGCGGCTAGCTAGCAGTCCGGCATGTCGACATCTCCCGCCCTCGCAGCTCTTCAGGGATCAGCGCGGCATTCACTCGCCAGTCGCGACGGAAGATACTCCGCGGGCTAGCCTGTTCGGCTTGCAGGCGAAGGGCAAGGATTTTTTCCCGAAACACCACATGTTGCGCCTTGTTCAAGCCGGGAAGGTCGGCGCCATTGCCGCTGCCTGCTGGAAAGCAAGCACCACATGCGTCTTGGCTGTGGGCATTTTCAAGACCTGCAGAAAGATCAAGGCCCCCCCCTTGTTGATAACAGGAGGGCTGTGTAGCAAAAGCCAAAGCTGAGACAATCTCTTGTCCCAGGATGCTAGCCGTAACTGCGCGGACATTCACCACTGTGGCGGAAGGGAGCGGATGGCACCGAGCTCCTGCAACACAGGCACAGTGACACGACGCGGGAACAAAACTGTCATGACCCGTCCAACTTCACTATCCACTAGTCCCGGCTGCGGTAGAAGTGTCTCGAAGGCTCACTCAAATTCTTTCTCCAACGCCGAATGCCAGCTTGTCATTCGCACCAGCCCACGGCAGCCCACGGGCGGAGGCAAAGGGAATGTGCAGCTCAACACTCTGGCACGCCTCACTGCCAAGCCGGTTGGTATTTGGGGACTCGCTCAGCTTGCCCCTCAGCCATACCCCCCGGGACGCATGGCCCACCTGGCGGGCCGCTACAAACTGTCCAATGGTCAAGTCTTGGACTCGTTACGGCCGTCGGGGACGGACTGTCTGACGGTTTGCCAGTCTGTTTCGGAATATTTGTTTGGAGTTGAGGTCCGGACGGAGGTGGGACTGGTACAGGATCAGGGTGACCTCAAGGGATGCCGTGTGAGTTACCAGGGCCAGATCCACTTTGTGCCCTATTCCGACATCACGCAGGTAGGCGATGAGGTGTGTCCACAACCTGTCCGCCTCACCTCCGCAGCCATCGCAGTGGACTTCATCCACCAGTCCACGTCTTGCACAGTGAGACGCTCTTGTGCTATCTTAATCGCCTGCCGGCAGTCGGAGCAATACTTACTCCGGCCCATACTTCTTTGCAGGCTGAAGGCCTAGAGTCCATCAATGGGGTGTGCCTAAATCTGGCCTTGGTCGCCTCCACACGGTTATTGGCAGAGCTTTATCTGTTGATAATAGCCATTCGATGCCCACAGTCCAATCTTCTGCTACCTGCAACAGGCTCCTCCCCGTGTCTAGTCACCATTGGGGAGCTGGCAGCCCGCAAGGCGGAAGCAGCGGATTGGAGCGAATGGCACACCATCAGCGTTTTTTTCGGCTGCCCAAACGGGCACCACCGCTCTGCACCAGGGCCTGGTGGTTGAATGGTTTTCTGTCCTCCTTGTCTTGGCCTACAATGGCCACCGATTTGCTGTGCACCGTGGTTACGCCAACCACAAAGGTCTTTGATACCTTGAAACACGGATTAGGCTTAGTAATCCGCGGCCTGAAGCTCACGAGCGGTTCAAGCTCACAAGGTCCCTCCCTCTTCTTTCCTTGAAGCCATGTCGGGCCAGGGAGACCAGCTGGACAAAATGTCTGCTTTGGTGGCGGAGGTGGCTGCTCAGCTAGAACAAGTGAAGCTGCAAGGAGCACGACGTGAAGAGCAGCATCAAGACCTCACAGATCGCATGACTCAGTTGGAAGCACGCATGGATGCCCCAGAGTCTTCGGCTGCCGTGCTCATTCCGACTCAGCTGCAGCCACAGTCCTTCACAGCGCCGGTAGCACAGGGGGTAGACCTCAACGCCCCGGCCACGGTTGGGCAGTGCATGGAGCTGGTGCAAATGGCGATGCAGCAGAAGGTCGCCCCTGCTCTGGGAGCCGTCTACTCCTCCTTGTCCACCTCACAGGTGAGGACCAACGAGCGAGTGAGCAACCTTGAGCAGCAGGTCCGGGCCCTTCGCATCCGCACAGCCTGGGCCGAGAAGGACATGCTCTTTGCTCAGATCGAGCAGGCCAAACGAACCATAGTATGCCGCAACTTCCCCACGTGGCAGACGGAGGCGGACCGGCGCCTCACTGTGGAAAAGGCCCTTGCGAAAGCTGGGCTGTGGAACATCGATGGCATGTGGGACCTGACCACGTCACGCCTGGACACCGGCACGCCGGGCAAGCTGGAGCTCTCTGACACGTCCATCCTCACAGTCCCCTCCCTCACAGTCCGGAAGCGGATCCTGGAGGTAGCGGATAGGGTGTACCCTTGGTACTTCCACCAGGAGAAGGATGGAGGAGCACACGCAGGTGGAAGAAGCGAAGGACAGTCCTGAAGGGACGGCGGAGAAGACCACGGCAGACCCCTCACAGGCAGCCGGGTCCAAGGAGGAAGCCAAGACCTACGAGTACAAGGGTGGCGGTCCCGTGAAGCTCTCTCCTGGAGTCACACAGTTTGAACGCAGGCTTGCTTCGCCGGTTCAGGGACTCATGAACGCCTACAGGGCGGCCTTCAGCAAGTTCGCCAAGGAGCCACTGGTGCCGAGGTGGAAGACCTTGGCCTTGGTCGACTCCAAGGAGGCGGCTGGGCCGCATCGTGTACCGTCGCGGGGTTCCCTAGATCCACATTCCGGAGGAGCACGCCGAGAAGCTCTTGGAGACCTGGCGCCGCATCTGGTACGACCAATTGCGACAGCAGGTCAACCAGACGACTGTCGAGCAGGAAGCTTTTGACAGTGCCGCCCGCCTCACATCGCACAACTACGCAGAGGCCAAGAGACTCAGCAGGTTCCTGACCAAGGCCATCCCAGAGTACAACGAAGGCGAGGACGATGGATTGGATCACTGGATCGCCAGGTTCCGGTATGAGTTCCCATGGCCGGTGAAGTTTGTACATGTTCCACAGGATGCCGAAGAGAGGACACACTTCACAGGACACAGGTCCACAGAAGAACTCATGGAACAGATGGCGGCTCAGGAACAGGAGGCTGCCTTCACAGTGGACTCGGCGAGCGGAGGTGTGGGGGCGATGATCGACGTGGTTTCCCAAGTGAAGCGCACTCACAGTGACGCCGCTTCCGCTGTCAGTGGCTTCAGTGCGGCCAGCAATCCTAGCTCTGGGCTTGCTCCCCCACAGCTCACCAAGGCCAGGCCGAGCTACTACCCGTTCGGCTCACAGGTGGAGCTCGAGTCGAGGGCGCGGTAGAGGAAGCCAAGATCGCCCACATTAACAACGGTGGGGTCCCCACGGACTACCCACAGGAGGCCTGGGAGGCATGGTGCATCAAGCGCCGTGCTGCTGGCTCGCAGCGATGGTCCGGCAAGCGCGCCCTCTCTTCCTTGCAATCTTCCGCAGCAGCTGCGCGACCGCATTTTTCACAGGCTGCTGCCTCTTGTATCATAGCAGACCCAGACCGTACCACACAGCTGGGCAAAAACGAGTTGAACCGTTCTGGCACGCCACCTAAAGGCGAGCTGGGTGCGCTGAGCCACTATTATAACTCTAGTTCTTCTTCACCTCACAGTTTCGTTTTTCCAGGTTGCTCTGAGAGTTGTTCTAGTGTGCGTTTCGGCGACGAAGTGCCCCACAGCCCCCACACCACCCCCTCGGCACCTCAGACCCGAGCACAATACCACCGCCACCTCAGGTCTAAAAAATAGTATGGCAGCAGCGAGCACGCCGCCGCATCACCACCAGATCTCGCAGCAGGCGGGAGTACAGAGCATGGAGGCATGCTCTCTCCACCTTCCCAACCCCTAGTTGTGGTTTGGGCTCCAGAGCTAGGATCAACAACCAAAAGCCTTTATACGGCCCCACGCCGACCGGCTTACAGCCTGTTCCCACCAGGGTCTCCCCTAAGGGTCGTGGCCCGCAGTTTCGTTCCTGCAGACGTTTTCACCGCCTTTTGGCCAAAGCCCCTGATATGCGAGTGAAGAGACACCCCCCGCAGAACCGCTCCACCCCCAATCATTTGAGGCTTCGAACACCGGAGCCTGCCACCCCACCAAGTGGCCATTTTGGCCCGCCTGCCTCCCCCACTGAGGGCTCTTCCACCACTGCCCCTCTCACACACTCTCCCCTCCTCCCTTCCCTCACCGCCCAACCCTACCCCCCCTCACAGCCTCAGTTGCACAGTGGCCGTGGGTTCTGGGCAGACGCTCACGATGCCCAGAATAAGCAACACACACGGGCCCATTGGTTCAAGACCCACTGCCGCTGCCCACAGGAGCACGGCAGACAGAGGCACTCCACACAGTTGCGCTCCAAAGTGTGCCTGAAGGGGGGATTCTGGAACACCACGGCCTCCTTGAAGCCGGCAAGATCCACACCCTGATCAAGATCATGCAGACGCATGGTCTTGACTGGCTGGCCCTCACAGAGACCCACGTGAAGCAACAGGACCGCTTTATGATCGATGGGTACACTGTCACACACAGTGCTGATGACAAGCTGGATGCCCAGGGAAATCCGGTCCAAAGTGTCATTGATTACCTCCCCGCGGCTCACACCTTGCATTCTGGATATCGTTGCCACCGACGGCCGTTTTCTTTCTTTCAAGATAGACACGGCGGAGGCCCCTCTCACAGTTCAGGTGGTGTACGCTCCCCACAATCAACGTGAGCAGCCGGTCCGCGACGCATTTTGGCAGTCGCTGGGAGACATCCTTCACAGACACCCCGCCAGCGAACCTCTCTTATTGGTCGGCGACTTCAACGCGCAACTGCTCGACGAGCTTTCCTCCAATCGTGGCAGCGTCGGACCGCACGCCCACTTTGGAGCGAACGTTGCCGACGAGACCCTAGCCTCACAGGCTGGTGAGGACGACCCACTGTCCAACCACGCACAGCTGTTCGAGATGTCGGTCAGCCACGACCTATGCTTCCCGCAGACGTGGATGGACAAAGACGAGCGACATCGAATGACACACCAGCGTCCGAATGGCGACTTGGTCCAGTTGGACCACGCCGTCACCAAGTTCGCCTGGAAGAACATGGTCACCGATGTGCACACCCTCCCGAACGCTGCCCTCAACAGCAACCACTTCCTCACCAGAGTCACTCTTTCCCTCCACACAGCCTGCCACAAGCGCGCTGCACCCACCCCCAAGCTGACCAGACGCCCTGACGCACAGTCCATTCTTTCCTACAACACACACTTCACGGAAGCCCTCCAGCATCAGCCAGCCTCCGCCGCCCGCCAGAGTCAGAACCTGGAGACGGAGCGTCAGCTCCACAAGACCATCAGCTCACAGGCCCGTCAGGACAAGCAACAATGGCTTAAGGATCGTCTTCAGGAGAGCGAAGAGACACTGGACGCCAGGGACAAGTGGCGTTGGATCAAGCGCATCCGCTCGGACTACAAGCCTCGCACTGTCACTCTGCATGACTCCAAGGGCAAGCCCACCAGCTACAGCAAGCAGGCAGACACCTTCGCCAAACACCTGTCGGAAGTACAGTGGGCCCCCCCGCCGGCAGACTACACAGGCCCCACCCACAGACTGACTGATGACAGTCCAGTCAACATGGCCCCCATCACGATGGAAGAGCTCAACAACACCCTCAAAGGCATGGCTTCGCACAAGGCACCAGGCCCGGACCAAATTCCGGCGGAGGCCCTACAATGGCTTACGCCAGCCAACCGTCAACCACTCGGACCTCTACAACGAAGCATTACTCACAGGCTTGGTGCCGGAAGAATGGTCAACGGCAGTCGTTGCAGAGATTCACAAGCGCGGCACGATGGCGGACCCCAACAACTACCGCCCCATCGCCCTCCTCAGCACCTCTTACAAACTTTTCGCCAGGCTCCTTCAGAAACCTGGAGCAGGCGATCGACTCCAAGCTCCGACCTGTCACGGTGGCGCGAACGGCATGGGGTCACGGCTCGATCTACAACAACCCCTCCTTCTTCATAGTGAAGGCGGCGGAGCAATTGAGCCAACCGTCTCAGGCAAGCTCTGGCATTCGCCAAGGCTGCCCACTTTCTCCTTAACTCTCCTTTGGTGGTCCACAGCATGATCATGGCCGACGTCGATGCAGCGCTGCAGCAGCATGGTCAGATGCTCCCGTGGCTTTTTAGCCAGAACCAGCCATTCTACGACCTTTGCTTACGCGGACGACATGGCCATTTTCACAGGCACTGCGGAAAGAAGTCAGCAAATTCTGCACAAGATTCAGGAAGTCGCTGCCCACAGCAACCTCTTACTCCGAGGACCTGTGCACCATCATGTGCACTTCCTGTTGGCTGGCGCTAGCTGGCTCGCTGGCTGCCTGGGCAACCGTATCGGCAGGGAAGGCTGCGGGCCCTCGTCGACTACACACTGCAGCACTCGGTCCCTATAAGAAAGAGAGCAACTAACAAGAAATGAATAAGCTATACAAAAATGCTAGGTGAAACAGGAGCTGCGACACAGACTTGGTCGGCGAAATCGTTCAGCTCTGATATAATAAATACACTGGCCCTCGGTTCACTGGCCCTGCTCCCCGTAAGACATGGGTCGCGCAATGGCCACCATCATCAAAATTGTCAGGTCGGTGGCAGTTCGCAACACAAGAGCAAAAGGTGAGTTGCCATGCGCCCAGCTTCCCTTCCAATGGGTCTCGCAAGGGCGAATCACTCACTCAGAGAGCCAGTGTCGTAGAGCAGCCCACAAACAGGCCGCTGTATCCTGGGATGTCAGTGCCCAGCTTCCCTCACAGGGTCTCGCAAGGGCAAATAGAGAAGGAGCACCACAAGAGTGCAACTCCTCCACATCTCAATTTAAGGTATCGGAGACCGCAAGCGCGTTATGGGGAGTGCTTGCATCGGTTCCAAGTTTGAAAGAAGGCGTATGCGCAAGTCAGACCAACCCAAGGTCCACGGCTGCGAACCATCCACTGCATCATGGCCGACGCACGCAGAAAGTCAGTGCCCTTGTATAATCCAACGACTACTCGACAGGTATGGCGGGAGACCGCGACGAGCGTCATCAATGCCTCCAGATCAACTTGGATAATAGTGGCGCCGACTTGGAAGCCAAGCCAGAAACATAGTTGGAGTCTGCGCTCTATTTACCAACACAAACACACACCGATCTAGGTATGCGGCTTCCGACCGTTGGTATACTGTCAGCTGTTGCCGAAAGGCAAGACGGCCATTTTGCTCTCGAGCCCACCAGCACTCAATAGCTGCTGCGTAGCGACAGCGGAGTGCAGCGAGAGAAGCTGAACAGAGACATAGGTGGCGACACGTAAGAGAGTGACCGCCATGGCCAGGTATCTATAACCTTACGGAAGGGCAAAACACATATGATGAGCCCAGCTGCACAGTTGAAAAGGTCACAGGGCAGGTGCAGGGTTCTAGCAGGCGGAGACGATCGCTGCCACCGCAGATTCAACTTTTTGCAAAAATGACGCCGGTGGTAGCTGCATAGTCTGCATCTTAAGCCGTGGAGCTCGAGTTCCGGCCGTTCCGGTAATTCCGCCGCCCGGGATGGTAATCGTAGTGCCAATGTTCCCAGACCAAGACACTGTACAAACTGGCTCCGCAGAGCTGGCTCTCGATTACCCTGTATTCGAGGCTCTATCGAGCTTCCCGCCTGCCAATCGAGTCTCGCAAGGGCACTGAACTGATGGTCAGGCCAGTCCTTTGAGATCGATGGACCCTTTGGGCATTCTCAGGGCCATACAATGCAGAGCTGGGCGTAGACTGTGCCATAGCGTATGTGTCGTCACCAGTGGAACCCGGTAGCCGGTTTGATGCACCTGGTGCTGCTCACGCTTGGTATTATTCAAGAATGAGAGAGACGCCCGTAAGCGCGCACAGGGGGTCCCACTGGTACGTCTCGCAAGGCTAAAGTATGGCCGGCAAGAGTTATGGCTCAGGGTTAAGTCCGATAGCGGTAGCTGCAAGTGTGTAAAAGGAAGTTCCTCCCACCGTTCGCCAGAAAAGTAGAGCAGCTCCCTCCATCATTCTCAGCCAGGACTCTTCTTGCAAGGCGGACATCACCACGTGGCTTGAAAAAAAAGGCCATCGGATTTCTGCGAGCCCGATGTAAATAGGCACGCAGCACCGGTCTCCATCGATGTGATCAAGGGAGTGGCAGGAATTGGTGGAGGACCAAAGACTCGAGTCGGAAAGAAGCTGGGACGCGCAGCCATGCTTCGGGCCGCCTGTCTTTGGCCTACAGAACCTCGTGCTGCTTCTGGAATATCATCTTCAGGCGA